CTTGTACATGTCTTCTTGTGAATTTAAAGCATCATTTCTCTTGGGTATATACATAAGAATGAGATTGCTGGGTCCTAGGGTTGATATATATTTAACTTTATTAGAATGAGGCCACTTTTCAGGTTGGGAGAATCAAGGATTCTTCAGGAACATTCTCTTTCCCTTCAATTGGCCCTGACACTCACAGATTCCCTCTGAGACAATTCAGACACGATGCAAAAATCCATTATTCCAAGGGTTCCCTGCCTTCCCAGGGCTCCCAAATGGCTTGCCTATTATCAGCATGAGGGCAGAGAAGGGATCAAAATGTATCAAATCATATCCCAGGATTAACTTGATAATCCTGGCACCTAATAGTGCTGGGAGGAGGGTTTCCCACATGTGGCTATTAGAGAGCCTGGGGCTTAGCAGTGGGATCTGATGCCTTTGGCCTAAGGGACAGGATTTACAGCAAGTGATCAGAAACCACCACAGTCAGACAATTCTCAGTGCTAGAACCTGGGGTCAGGGAGAAGCACTGTAGCCCCAGACCAGATCAGTGTCCTTTTATACCTACCCTAGGAGTAAGCCACAGGATTGAAGGGGCGTGAGCCTCAACAATCCCTAGAAGGTCTATGAAACAGGACTGACACACAGATCACGACAGTATGGAAAGAGCTCACTGCCCAGGGGCCACAGCGCTGCCTTGGACCAGCTGTGTGACCCTGGGCAAGCCATGTCACTTCTCTGTGTCCCCATCTCATGCCTGGAAGACCCTTTGATCTTCCCTGTATGATTCCCACTTCCTTACTCTCCTAATTGTTATTCATTTGTCAGGTCTGGTTCAGGTCTGGTGGGAAGTCCTCCCTGACCTCATAACAGAGTTGAGGCAATCCTCCTATTGTAGTTAAGGTTGTGTGTCAACTTGGCTGGGCCATGGTTTTGAGTGGCTAAGGCAGCTGGATGTAGTTATTCCCCATCATGAGACTGGTAATAACTCCATGGTGGAATCTGCTGTAAGCAGCTAAGTAAGTGCCTTTGGGGTATGTCTTGCTTCCAGTATTTAAGAAACAGCTTTGAGAAAGGTCTCTGAGCTTTTGGCACATTTGCATCCTTCATTTGGCAGAGTTTTCATCTCAGTGCCCTGCCATGTTGCCTACTGATCTTGGGATTGTTCCTGGACTTAAATCAGTGGCTGGCTGTGTTGTCTGTTAATCTAAGGCTGGACCATTTTTCCTGTTGATCTGGGGTTCGTCAACCTCAGCAGCCAACAACGGCGTGAGTTAGGAAAAGCCTCCAGTTCTAGTGGGCCTGAAACAGGAGGCACAACTGAAACCTGAGGTCAAGGGGCCTTCATCTGGCCCCTAGAGCTGGCACTATGAATTGGACTACTAGCCTCCTAAAATGTAAGAGAATAAATCCCTGCTTGTTAAGCCATCCATTTGTGGTATTTCTGGTATACCAGCACTAGAAAACCAAGACACCTCCTCAGGACTCTGGCTTCACTACCCCATCAGCTATTGTAGTGCTCACCCCAGGGCAGAATGTATCCTGTTTCCTTTCTCTAGACTGTGAACTCCAACACAGCAGGACATTCACCTGGCACAATGCCTGGCTCATATTTGATACATATTTAATACTCATTTGCTGAATATATAAACAGTAGACCCTTAGAGTCTGAACCCACTAAATAAATCTGTGGAGAGGAAAAATTTCTCAGGGCATTCATACTGTTGTGATGTGCTCAACTTACAAAACAGCTCTTCTACACTGAATTGATTGAATTGTATCATATCTTTAATGCCCTGGGCCAATAAAATAGAAACCTTTAAGGGTGAATCTTGGAGAATCTGGAAGTTTTTTAGAACTTCCCAGGCAATTCTAACATGTAAATGGGGTTGAGAACCACAAGTCTAGAAAGCTTGAGGCAGGACTGACACACAGATCGCTATAGTATGGAAGGAACACACTGCCCAGGGCCCACAGCACTGCCTTGGACCAGCTGTGTGACCCTGGGCAAGCCATGTCACTTCTGTGTCCCCATCTCATGCCTGGAAGACCCTTTTGTCTTCCCTGTATGATTCCCACTTCCTTATTCTCCTAATTGTTATACATTATTTGTCAGGTCTGGTGAGAAGTCCTCCCCAACCTCATAACAGAGTTGAGGCGACCCTCAGGGGAAAATAAAAACCAAAAACCAAACTCACTGCCATCAAGTCGATTCAGACTCAGTGAATCCATTGGGTTTCCAAGGCTGTAAATCTACAGAAGCAGACTGCCTGCCTCATCTTTCTTCTGCAGAGCAGCTGGTGGGTTCACAACACCAACCCCCCCCCCTTTTTTTTTTTTTGGTTAGCAGCCAAATGCCTTAACCACTATACCACCAAAGCTCCTTTAAGGGAAAATAACTGTAACTAACTCACTGGCATCGAGTCAATTCTGATTCATAGCAACCCCCACTGGGTTTCTGAGGCAGTAAATCTTTATGGAAGTAGATTGCCCCATCTTCCTTCCACGGAGTGGCTGGTGGGTTTGAACCGCCAACCTTCTGGTTAGCAGTCGAATGCCTTAGGCACCACGCCACTGGAGCTCCTACGGGAAAATAAGTAAATAAGTAATTTTCCTAAGGGAAAATAGTTAAGTAAAATAAAGAATCCTTCTATGAAGCAGCTAACCCTCTGATTTATCTAGTCTGTACATCAGACTAGATATTGACACTGATATAATAATACCCTTCATTACTGAGAACTCTGGGTCCCAGTTTCTTTTGAAACCAGTCTCTGTTGATTTAAAATCACAAGAGCCTCTTAATAGATGGGGCACAACTGATTCTGCTGATGCATGAAAAGATGAGGACAGACTAGAAGGAGGCCTTTCCTCCCCTTTCTCCTCATTCGGGAAGAAGTGAGAAAAAATGGTGCATCAAACCTCTTCATCTAACTTCATGAAGGGGGGAGAATCATCAGTATCAGCACAAGGTTCATTCCTATGAGTGAAGGTCAAACAGACCTCCACCCTCCAACCTTTTTACCAGTTCTGACACCAGGCGACCCTCCCTTGGCACTTTCTACTTCTCTTCTGGGTTTGATAATTCATTGCAATGAACACAGAGAACTCACAGACAATACTCACAATTATGGGTTTATTAGGGAAGTAATAAGTCACTCAGGATCAGGATCAACATGCTGCAACTTGGGATCAGAATCAGGAAGCATGTAGGCAAAGTATCCCTTCTATAGGATCGTATGAGTCAGAGTTGACTGGATGGCAATGAGGGGGGGTTAGATATGCCTGTGACTATCTGAAGAAAAATAACTCATGCAAAGGGTTTTAATGCTCCAATGCTTGGAGACTCTCCAAACCACTAAAAAGCCCTTTAGAATTCTGAACTTCTTCATCATTTGCTCCAAGAAGGAGCAGACCTTGCAAATATGCATTCTCATAGATCATTTCTGATATACAGAAGAAGTACTAGGAGTGATAGTAATAAATGATAATAATAATAAACAACTTACTGCATGACCACAACATAATAGGTGAGTATGAACTGGTTTCTACCACCGGTGGTTACCAGCTCTGTGACTTTGGGCCTGCTACTTAACCCCTCAGTTTCCTCATTTGTACAATCAGGATATTCATGGTACCTCCTCATAGAGTTGTCATGACAGTTACTGAGATAATTCACATAAAGCGTTTGACACAGTGTCTAACACATGGTAAACATTCATCAATATTAGTTGTACTATACTAGTCCTCTGTCTTAGGAGTCCCTGGGTGGTGCAAATAGTAAAGTGCTCTACTACTAGCTACAAGGTTGGCAACTGAACTCACCCAGAAACACCTTGTAAGAAAGGGCTGGAAATCTGCTTTCAAAAGGTCAATCTTGAAAATCCTATGGAGCTGTTATACTCTGCAGTCATGAGGTCATCATGAGCCAGAACTGACTTGATGGCAACTAACAACACCAGTTTTCTCTCTTAAACATAATAAAGATACTGCAAAGTATTATTCTATCTACATAGGGTTGTTATGAGTCAGAATAGATTCTATAGCAGTGGGTTTTGGCTACAGACAATAAAATCTAGGCTAAGAGAAGAAAATTGATTTGCCCAAGGCTCTCAATTAGATACATGGAGGAGTCAGGACTTGAACCCAGGTCTCTGCCTCCAGAGTCCACTTGCCGGGAGTCACACTTTCATAATCATGATTGCCACTGGATGTCTCATTTTTGTAGCAGATTAAATAACTTCATTGATTTTATTAAACAAATATTGCTGGATTTAAGAAGACAATGGCATAGAGGTTAAGCACTTGGCTACTAAGCAAAAAGTTGGCAGTTTGAACCTATCAGCCACTCAGCATTAGAAAGATGTAGCATTCTGCTCCCATAAAGATTACAGTCTCCAGAACTCTATGGAGCAGTTCCATTCTATCTATAGGATCACAATGAGTAGGAATTGACTCAATGGCAATGGCTTGGGTTTAATTATTATTATTATTATTATTATTATTATTATTAACAAAACCCTAGTAGCATCCTTCTGTAATCATCTCAAGGTGTTTTCCTGGACATAGTTTTCAAGCTGTAGAGGATACATTGGACCTATGAATCATTTTATTATAATGCCTGGTATCATCAGTGTTCCATGTCAACTCTTAGTTTGATTCAAACTCAGAACATTATGCTTTGAGATTATGCATAGTCCAAGGGTTGGCAAATCTGGCCAGCTGCTTGTTTTTGTAAAGAAAGTTTTGTTGGAACATAGCCATGCTCATTTGTTTATATTGTTTACAGATTGGTTACATATAGTCTATGGCTACTTTTGAGCTTCAACTGCAGAGTTGGGTAGCTGTGCATACAGATTATATAGCCTGCAAAGCCTAAAATATTTATTCTCTGACCTCTAACAAGAAAAGTTTGATGGACTAGTCTATGGTTTGCATGCACATCGTGTCAAAAGAACTGGCTTGAATGTCATAGGTAATAAGAGCAGGCTCTTTAGAATAGCCCATCCCCTTACTGGTTTGCATGTGGACGCCAGAGCCTTCTGCACGGTGGGAAGTGTGATTTGAACCAGAGCCTCCTGAAATATCTTCTTCCGGATGGTGCTGCTGTCATAATCATATTGCTGTCAATACAGAGATAAAAACATATGCTAAATGACAACATTGCAATCTGTTAACTTTTGCTTAAACAAAAATCTTAGCTACCCGCTTCATCTCTCTTTTTCTCCCTAATTTTTAAGGACTCTTACTACAAAGACTCAGGGATCTTTCTACATAATTCTCTCAAATTGCAAGTAAGGAGGTTATAATTGACAATGACCAATCTCACCTCCCTCTCTTACAGATACAGAAAGTGAGACAAGATCAAAGTGGAGTGACTTCAGTGTTATAAAGAAAGTCGGGGATAGAACTGGCACTTGAGCTTGTGTTTCATCACCTGCATCATGGACATGTGCATGGGAGCCATGCCAATCTACTTCTTTCACTTCACATCCTGAAAGCAAGTTCAGTGTATTGTAATGATTTCCTCAAAGGGAGCGAGGGCCTGGCTCATAGCTCTATTAACAACATGACATGTTAACCAAAGAAGTTTAGTGTCTAAAATAGAGATGATATTTACTCTGTTATGGGCTGAACATCCAAACTTAGAGACCAGGTTTGATTTTAGATGTCTCTTTAATGGGAACACAGACAAATTGGAACATGGTCACAGGTGCATGGACAGAATGACTGGGCCAAGTGAGGAATGGATAAAGAGAGGAAGGAAGGTTGGGCTATCCTACTTCCGTAGTGATACTGCCTCGGAAACCCAAGGAGGTTGGTTGTGGGATTAGGGCTATAATTTTTGCCCCAAGCAGTTGTCTCCCATGTAATGCCTTCATCTCTTTATCCATTCCTCACTTGGCCCAGTCATTCTGCCCATGCACCTGTGACCATGTTCCAATTTGTCTGTGTTCCCATTAAAGAGACATCTAAAATCAAACCTTGTCTCTAAGTTTGGATGTTCAGCCCATAACAGAGTAAAGACGACGGCACATAACAACAACAACAACAATCCCACAACCAAAGCTACCATGTGGAAGAAGCATATGATCAAAAAGAGTAGACCCAAAATTAGGAGTAACAAGAACTTTGGCCTAACATAGTGAAGAGTGCCCAGAGGTGAAACAGGCTCCTCTGATAAGTACAAAGGGTCCTGATATGGGAGACATCCAAGCACAAGCTGGACCAGCCCTGGCAGGAACACTGCTTAAAACTGGATTTGAAACTGAACTAGAGTCCCTTTCTAACCTGAGGTCTTTATTTTTGAATGCCTTTCCACTTGCCTTCTTCCTCTCTTGGTGTGCTGAAGCACTTGATATGGACACTAACTTTCAACTGCATTGTAATTTCATTACCATTTGTGCTGCCATGATAACTAGTGCTTTGAATCCCAGTGATCTGGTTGCCAGAGTTTCCTCCTGTGAGGCATCAAGATCAAGTCTGAGCTGCAGGGACCACCCCTAGGTTCTGTAGGCTTTGAGCTTCTGCTCCAAAGCACTGGTTTGAGGAATTTTGCTATTGTTAGTTACTGTCTACTTGGCTCCTACACATGGCATCCTTCCATACAAAAGAACTAAACATTGTCTTGTCGTACGGTAGCTTAGTGCCTAAGGCACTTTACTGCTAACCAAAAGGCTGGCGGTTCAAACCCACCAGCCACTCCTTGGAAGGAAGGTTGGGCAATCTACTTCCGTAGTGATACTGCCTCAGAAACCCAAGGAGGGGTCGCTATGAGTCAGGTCCAACTCGACGGCACCTAACAACAACAACAACATAGTGAAAAATCAGTGGACTACGTGTAAGGGTGGTTTTAGCTCTAAGCTCACCAGTGACCAGCTTGTTGAGCTTAAATAAGTCATTTTAGTTCATAGAGTCAGATTCATCATTTGCAGAATGGAGACACATTCTAATTAGTTCATGGTTTTAAAGCGGTTCAAATGAAACAGTTGATAAAAAAAGATTTAAAAATTTTTTTTAAATATACATGTTCTAGTACATCATGGTTGGTAGAGGGTCAGTGAAAGTGAGGGAAACCTTCATTGAGATGGATTGACACAACAGCCTCCACAATGGCTCAAATGTATCAAAGATCAGGAAGATGGTGCCAGATCAGGCAACATTTCATTCTTTTAAACTTGAGGTCCTCATGAGTCGGAGCAGACTCAGTGGCAGCCAATCACATGTACCAGCTGCTAGTATCACAGCCACTTTGATATATACTTATACATGATGCACATTTAAAGTGATTTTATATGGCAAATATATTTTTTCCTTAGAATATTTCCTTTGCCGTGATTTTTCTTATAAATGTTAGCTAATTGAGGTTGATTTTACTAAACTCTAAGCACATGCCACTGCACAGGAAGAAGAGGCAATCTACTTCTGTAAATATTTACCCTATGGGCACTTCTACTCTGTCCTATAGGGCTGCTATGAGTCAGTATCAGCTAGATGGCAATGGAGTTTAAACCGTTTGAAGAAAGAGGCTTTGCCCTGCCTGTTTTTTTAATCCCCTGTAACACCTGGCAGTGAATTTGTTTTTTGTTTTTGTTTTTGTAACACCTATCTCAACGCTTTGTTTATAGTGAACGATCAATAAGTATCTGTCAAGTCCAATTGCTATGAAGGTAAGCTGCCAATCTAGCTGATAGGCACTAATGCTGAGAACCTGTAGTCCCTACTCTAGCCACTAGATGACAGAGCAGGCATGAAAGTCATGCCGGAGACACTTGATTACATTAGTCACTGGTACCTTAGAGAAAAAAGAAGGAGAAAATATTGGGAAGAAAAAGGGGAGACAGAAAAGGAGCACATGATATTTTTCACTTAGCAAAAGAAATGAGGGCCCTATTTCTGTTTCATGTTTCCTTGAAATGAGAGAATGGTTGCAGTTGGTTTTACCTTTAAGACTCGAAGCTTAACCTTTTCAATGGAGACTGCAGTTTTGGAGGCCTCTCCTTGAAGATGTGGGGAAAGCAACTGCTCAAATGTAAATACTGCGTTTTCCATCAGCTAGAAAGCAAAAGCAACACAGAAACAGATCATGATCAGAGGTTGGGATCACTGCCTCCAAGTCTGTCTAAAACTGCTTGAAGGGAGAAGGGGTAAACACCAGAGATGGGTCTACCCAGGCAATGCTACTGGGTGACCCAGGGCTGAGATCAATACCATGTGGACAGAGTGGGATCTGTGACATATGTGTGTGTGTGTATGCATGCGTGTATTTTTCCCCCCTCCTTTCTTCCCCTTAAGCCCTGAACTGGAGAACCCAAGATCATGGAGAACCTTATTCTTTGACCTCCATTCTCTGATGTCCGCAACCAGGTCTTAAAGAGATGAGGTAAGATCCTTCTCCAGTTAAGAGAACTGACTGCTTCAATTCTGCACCTCCACTTTTAGAGGAATGCAAACCACTTTGTAACACATACCTCTCTCCACTCTGCATCCTCCCACCTCATGGCTCCCTCTTTCTCTGCAAGCCTGAGTTAATATGCTCACAGGGTTAGAAAACAGAAGTTATTCTCTACATTTGTACTTCCAGTAATTTCAGCAAAGTCCAGTATTATCAAAGGAATTTTTGTTAAATTGTTGCCCAATTTTGTTTCTGGTACTTCTTTCAACCCCTCAGTGGTTAGACAATAATAAGATGTATCTCTTAATCCTGCCTACCACTATTAAGAAAAAAAAAGAAGAAGAAAAACAACTCTGCTGTCTTCCCCAAGCTTATTATCCCAAAGCATCTAATGTGTATCTTTATCACAGCACTTTCAACACCATAGTGAATTTATCTAAGATAAAAATCATCTAATTTATCTCAGTAAGAACGCTGGAAAGTGGGATCCCAGGAGGGTCTGGCCCACAGACTGTTGAATAGAACTGTGTCCTCATAAGCTCCAAGGATCACACCTGCTCTTTATTTGGAAACACTGTAATATGAAAAAGAGTTTGTGCTATTCATTCCTGTTCCTAAGGGACAAATTCCTTGTGGGGAAAAAAGGGAGCCTACTAAGTAGAATCAAGAAACTCAAATATCATTGTTGTGAAGCTGTTATTTATTATATTTTTACTCTTAACTGGGTTAGGAAATGAAGCCACTGGTTCTCAACTATGGCTACATATTAGACGCTGTGGCTAGGGGCTGGGGTGGGAGAATGCCTTAAAGAAATTATAAAAAAATAGAATCACTGAGGGTGGGGCTTACACATTAGTGTGCTTTAAAAGCTTCCCAGGTGATTTGAATGTACAGCCAGGGTGAAAGCACTAATTTGACAAATCAAGTAATCATCAAATAATGCTACTCTATTTCTCTGAGATATTTTTTCTCTATGATGATGTTCATCAAGAGCCCTGGTCACACAGTGGTTAAGCACATAGCTGCTAACCGAAAGGTCAGTGGTTTGAACCCACCAGCAGCTCCACAAGAGAAAGATGAGGCAATCTGCTTCCATAAGGATTTACAGCCTTGGAAACCCTATGGAGCAGTTCTACTCTGCCCTATAATGTCACTATGAGTCGGAATTAAGTCAATGACAATGGGTTTGGATCTGGGTATGATGCTCATCAACTTAGAAGATAAAGCAGCTCTAAGGACAAAATATGTCCTCACCCAACATAATGATTACAGACATGCACCTCATTTCCCTGAGCTATATTAGCATATGGTCTCATTTGCCAGCCATTACTTCTTGGCTCTTGCTCCATCCCCTTTCACAGGAATGCCTCTGCCATTCCCACCTCTTGCATGTAGTTCTGGGTCCTCTGGACTACCAGGTCCACGTGGGGGAATCTGAAGCGGCTCCTGAGATCCTGCAGGCGCTCTTGAAGCAGGGTGACTTTAACATAACAAGGTTCCATCTTCACAGAATCTTGTGGAAGATTCATAAGCTGGTCTAGATGCTGCATTTTGGTGAAGGGAAAAATTAAACACCTTCAGATTTAGGAGTGATATTACATAAACAAAATTCGAAACCATCAAATGAACATTATTACATAAACTGTCAACTCAATTGGGACATCTGTAACCTCTTCGATTGTCTTGTTTCTCTTCTTCATTGAGTCCCTGGAGCAGCTGAGGACAGACTGAATAGCAGAAAAAAACAACGGGGTGATGAGACGACTCAGGATGCACTTAGGAAGCTCCAGTCTTCTAAGCTCTTGATGGACTCCAAGCTCGCATGTAAACAGCTCAAGGACTGGGTGGACTCTTTGGTACATGGAAGTGCTGCTGAGTCCACGAGCCTCAAAACCCTTCTTTAATGAGTGACATCCCTCTCAAGAAAAAGAAAAAAAAAAAAACCCAGAAGCTTAGAGTGCTCCCTGGATGCATGTTCTCTGGGTGCCAAGCCAGAGTTCCCCATAATTCTGGGGTTCTTTAGTGGCAACAGGGTTTTCCTCTGCTGTGGGTCACTCTAAGGGGCTAGTGAGCGGGAAAGTGGGTAAGGCCTGACTGGGATGAGGGAGCCAGCTTTAAAGACAGGGCTCCTTTCTACTCCAGTTTGCACAAGTGAGAACTTAATTATGAGGTTACAGGTCTTCAGCAAATGGGCAGTGTCAGACCTCATCCACTAAAGCTCCCAAGTATATTCAACGCACTATTACACTAGGAAGATTGTTGCAAACAAAATACATGCTATTTTCCAAGCTTGTCTTAAAGTTTTTAAAATTAAATATTTGAGAATTAAATAAACAGAAGAGTAAGTGAGGAGGAAGGAGACAGAAAGAAAAGTACTAAAAATGAAGGCTCTAGGGAAAGGTTCCCCACTGTAAGAAGTGGGGAGCAAGGTGAGAAGAGTGCTGATAATGTAGATACAATGTGATTCTCAGACCACAGAAAAGGGATAAATCTTAATTTCTCTAAACATACCCAAGAGTCTTATAAGAATCCATTTTCATTGTGCTTTTAAGGAAATACATTGGGTGGTGCAAATGGTTAATGTGATTGCCTGCTAACCAAAGGCTGAGGTTCAAAATATATTGGGTGGTGCAAATGGTTAATGTGATTGCCTGCTAACCAAAGGCTGAGGTTCAAGTCCACTCAGAAGTACTTCAGAAGAAAGGCCTAGAGATTTATTTCCCAAAACTCAGCCATTGTACACCCTGTGAAGCACAGGTTCTTCTCTGTCACATGGAGGAGCCATGGGTAGGAACCAATTTAATGGCAGTTGGGTTGGTTGGGTAAGAAGTAAGTTATACAGCATTCCATTGAAGTGGAATTAATAAACAGTAGCATGCTATTGAACTTGCTCCTTGTCACACAGTATTTAACAATAGAATTAAACATAAGGGAGGAAAAACTGGTTGCTGTTTTGTTCCTATCAGACTAGTGAATGTTTTAAAAAAGTAATAACATCCAGTTACTGATGTGTATAGGAGGAGAATGCCAAACAACAGGGGTGGAAATACAAAATTTAAATCCATTTCTGGCATGCAAATGGAAAATTTGTTAACATTAGAAATACAGCTACTTTGCAACCTACCAATCTTGCTCTAGGAATTTACTCCATGAAAATAAAAGCATCACTGAATATGATTATTTATTGCAGCTTTCATGGGGCCAGCAACAGTGGAATGGTTGAATAAATCATGGTGCATCCATACATAAAATATTATGGAGACATTACAGAGAAAGATTTAGAGCTAGACCAGTTAACTTAGAGACCATTTCATGAGGTGTTTTTGAATAAGAAAAATGATAAGCACAATAGTATATATAGTATAATCCCATTTTTAAAGAGCAATATAAGAAACAATCTATAAATGTGTGTGTGTTATATGCTATATAAGCATGGAGGAAAGTATACAATGGTATATGCGAGGCTTTTAACACTAGTTACTTGAGAGGAGGGGTATGGCATGGGAGAGAGAATAAAGTCAAGAAAAAAAGGCTGCAAGAAGAAATTATCTTGTTTATATGCACTTTTATATATGTTGTTGTTGTTATATGCTGTCGAGTGGGACCCGACTCATAGCAACCCTCCTGGGGTTTCTGAGGCAGTATCACTATGGAAATAGATTGCCCCATCTTCCTTCCGAGGAGTGACTGGTGGGTTTGAACCGCCATTCTTCTGGTTAGCAGTCAAATGCTTTAGGCACTACGCTACCAGAGCTCCTTTTATGTGTACGTCTGCCTAAAGAAGTAAGAAAAGAAACAAAACAGAGGTGTCTGGTACTAACTACTGACTTTGAGAAATGCCCATCATGATTTGTTAAGTATAAAATCAAGTTGCCAAATTATGTCTGTGTCAGTGAGTCTTAAACATTAGGGTATATCAGATATCTTGTTTTAAAACATACAGCTGCTGCCTCTCCCATCACCAGAGTTGCAGATGCAATAGGTCTAGGGTGGGGTCTAAAATTTTTCATATTTAAAAATGAAGTGATGCTTGTGGTGGTTATGTTTGTGTGTCAACTTGGCTGGGCCTGGTTGAGTGGCTGGGCAGCTGGTGGTAGTTATTTCCCATGATGAGACTAGCAGTCAACTCCATGGTGGGATCTACCACAAGCAGCTGAGTAGCTGTTTTGGGTATGTAGTCTGCTTCCCATATATAAGAAGCAGCTTTGGAAATGGTAGCTAGCTTATGGCACCTTGAACCCTGCATGTAGCTATGTTGTTGTTCAGCAGCCTGCCAGGCTCTGCCAAACTTGGGACTTTCAGTGGACTTGAATTAATGGCTTGCCATGTGATTTGGTAATATTGGGACTGTGCCTTGTTACTGGTCAACCTTGGTCTTGGCAGCCTCAGCAGCCAGCAGCTGTCTGAGTGAAGAAAAGCCTCTAGCTTCAGCGGGCTGGGAGCTGGAGGCAGGGCTGAAGCCCAAGGCTGAGGGGCTTTCACTCAGCCCCTAGAGCCTGGCATTTGAACTCAGACTTAAAGCCTCCAAACTGTAAGAAAATAAACTCTTGTTTGTTAAGGCCATCCCATTTGTGGTATATTCTTGTCAGAGTGGCACTAGGTAACCAGAACAGTGCTGATGCTGGTCTGTGTCATGAATCTATTCTTTTGAAAATAAACAAGCCAACAAACAAAACTTATATAAATGAGGATATATGCTTTCATGCACAAGGTGAAAGTATAGGAAAACATATACCAAACTATTCATATTAGTTAATATACAGAGCTGGGATTCAAAGTGACCCCGGAGGTGAGAGTGGACTAGGATTAAGTGAGTATGGGTGACAGTCATTGGTCTTAGCTTTATAAAGGCATACCTTGGAGATACTGTTTGTTCAGTTCCAGACCACCACAAGAAAGTGAATATGGTAATAAAGCAAGTCACATGGATTTTTTTATTTCCAACTGCATATAAAAGTTATGTTTACACTATACTGCAGTCTATTAAGTGTGCAATAGCATTATGAAAATGTCTAAAATATTGTGAGAATTACCAAAATGTGACACAGAGACACAAAGTGAACACATGCTGTTGGAAAAATGGTGCCAATAGACCTGCTTGACACAGGTTACCACAAACCTTCAATTTGTAAAAAACACAATTATCTGTGAAGCACAATAAAGCAAAGTACAATAAAAGAGGTATGCCCATATAGTTCTGAGTATACTGTTTTACTTTTTTCAAGTATATTATTTCTGTAACTTGAAAACCATGAATAAAGAAAAGCAGGTGGATGGATAGATAAATAGATGAATGGATTGAATGAATGAATAGATGGATAGATGGAATGAAGGCTAGATGGATGGAAGAACAGATGAATGTATGGAAGGCTAGATGAATGGTTGGAAAGGAGGCAGGAAGAGAGGGAAGGAAGAGGGAGGGAGGAAGTAAGAAGTAGCTGGCTAGCTGGATGGATGGATGGTAGTAAAGCCCATGGAGAAGACAGCCTCAGAAGACCATTCACACTCAGCTCCTGGGATGCTTCTCTTACCTCCTTTAGCAGGGCACTGTCTCTCGTGGTCTGAAAGCTCTGGCTCAGATCATCCACTTCTTTTTCAAAGAGTGAGCGAACTTCACTGAATCCTGAGCTCACGGGTCCCATGAGCTCCTCCAAAATGGATGCCAGGAATGGTTGCACACTCTCTGCACAGCTTCTCTCCATAGGCTGGGCCACCATAGCTAAAGAAGGAAATAACCAGAAAATTGTGACTTGGGGCAAAATTCTATTCAGAGGCACTGGAACCAGGCCAGAACTGGAGGGTGCCCCACCGAGCCAATAAACAGGCAAGGCAAGGTCAGATGGGCAAGCCAAGCGATCACCATGCGTCTTGTGCCAGCACTCACCAGAATGGAAAACTATCAGATGCTTTGAGAATTGGAACAAATAGAACCTTTCTTTCCCTTCCTTAAGCTATCCTTTGCCTTGGGATGTAACAGATTTTTCTGCTTGGTCCCTACAAACATGCAATATCTAAAAAAATGGAGAAATTTCTGATGGCTAACATATCTATATAAATCACTATCATTATATATACACACACTTCGTTTGCCTTCTAAAAACACAATTATTTTTCATTCATTTTCTTAAGAGTTAATCAGTTGATATAACTCCATTCCCCTAAAATCAAGTACAGTCTTTTCTTAGGCAAATGAACCAAATTCTGTTTAATTTGCCACCCCCATCCCCCATGCCTGTCACCACTCTATTTCCAATTTTTAAAAATAACTTTTTTTTCTAATCATCAAGGAATACACGCTCAGTGAACAAAATGTAGAGAAGATAAAAAAAACATTCAAAGAGGGATTAAAAAAAAATAACCATAATCTCATTCTCCAGAGACACAAACTGTCCTTTGATTTAAAAGAGGAAGAGCAGAGTAAAGATTCTGATTCAGTGAGTCTGGGTTAAAAAAAAAAAACTCACTGACGTCGAGTCGGACCCAACTCATAGTGACCCCTCCTTGGGTTTCCAAGATGGTATCACTATGGAAGTAGATCGCCCAACCTTCCTTCCTCTGAGGAGTGGCTGGTGGGTTTGAACTGCCAGCCCTCTCATTAGTAGTCAAAAGCCTTATGCACTATGCCACCAGAGTGCCTAAATCTGGGTTAGGATGGGAATATACATTTTTTTTGTTTTAAGTTCAAAAGTGATTCTCACAATCAGCCAGGTTTGGAATCAGCTGTCTAGTGAGGGAAGCCTGAGTTGGAAGGGCCCTGAGCCCACTCTGTGTCTCAAAGGCTAGGTTTGTGGGCACAGGCAAGTCACATAGCCTTGTCATAGAGTCTAAGAACTGAAAAGGGAACTACAAACTCCTCTGAGTGTCAACTTCCTCCACATACATACAGATGGAATAAAAAAAAGTCCAAAGATTTTAGAGACTTACAGGTCACACTTTAATCTGCAGAACCAGGACTACAATTCAAGTTTACTTCTTAATTCTATTATTGGCAAACAAATTGCTTACAATGAGATGACTGACCACACTCTTACTCTGATTTGCAGAGATAGTTCACAGCTATGAAGGATCAGACTTGGCTCTTATTCTGAGAATCTCAGGTGACAAAGATGATTATTATGAACAACTTCCATAAACATATGGGGTATTAAATAAGTCATACAATTATTAGGAAAAAAACTTTGAGGCTTGATTCAAATTTTATCAATTTTGAATTGTATGATTTAAACATAAACAATCTGGATTTTTTAAAATGTCTTGCTTGATACCAAAATGCAAAATTGTTTGCCAGGAGAACAAATAACTCCCAAAATGAACTTTGAGACAATTAATTGAAAAAAATGTATAGTTAAGTCTTCTTTTTATATACCACAGAAATCTATTCATTGATATTTATGAACAGCGGATGCACAGCTGAGTAAAAAACAGAAACTACAACACAGTGTGTTCCCATTTTTAAAAAAAAACAACTATATTTGGAATTCATGTGCCAAGAAAAAGATCTGAAAGGATATACCCGCTGTCATGGATTGATTAATGTTCCCCCAAAATATGTGTCCCCTTGGCTGGGCCATGATTTGCAATGGTTTGGTAGTTATGTAGTGATATAATTTTGCAGTCATGCAAGAAAGTAGTCATCTCCCACAGTGCGGTCTGATGGGATCAGCCAATCAGTTTTAAGGGGATTAGGGTGGCAACAACTTTACTTAGGTCACAGCCCTGATTCAATGTATGGTGAGTTTCCCTAGTATGTGGTCCACATCACCTTTTATCTTACAAGAGATAAAAGGAGGGAGAAGTGAGCAGAGAAGAAGGGCCCTAACTACAACCAAGAAAAAGAGCCAGGAACAGAGTGTGTTGTTTGAACCCAGGGTCCCTGCGCTAAGAAACTCCTAGACCCAGAGGAAGGCTGATAACAAGACCTTCCCCCAGAGTTGGAAAAAAGAGAGAGAGAGAGAAAGCCTTCCCCCAGAGCTGGAATTGTGAATTCAGATTTCTGGCCTCCTGAACTCTGAGAAGGAGCTCTGTTGGTATAGTGGTTAAAGCATTCAGCTGCTAACAAAAAGGTCAGCAGTTCAAACCAAACAGTTGTTCTATGGGAGAAAGATGAGATAGTCTGCTTCTGTACAGATTTACAGCCTTGGACACCCTATGGGGCAGTTCTAGTCTGGCATATAGAGTCACTATGACTTGGATTCGACTCAGTGACTATGGGTGGGTAAGAAAGTGTGAGACAATATATTTCTGTTTGTTAAAACCATCCACTTATGGTATTTCTGTTATAGCAACACTAGATAACTAAGACCCCAAACCACTGCCGTTGACTAGATTCCAATTCATAGGATAGAGCAGAACTGCCCTAAAGAGTTTGCAAGGCTACTGTAAATCTTTATGGAAGTGGATTGCCACATCCTTTCTCCAGTGGTACAGCCAGCAGGTTCAAACTATCAACCTTTTGGTTAGCAGCCAAGCACTTTACCCACTGTGCAATTAGGGCTCCTTGAAAGGATATATGATAAGGTTTTATGAGTAGTTACCTCTGAAAAGTAGGATCTAAATGTTTCTATTTTGCTTATTTGCATTTTCCATTCTTTTCCTGCAATGGCATGTATTTCAGGTTCTTACACCTTTTTCTATTTCTTCTGTCAATTCAATGTGAAATTGGAGGGAGATAGAAGAGGTAAATGTGTTCTAGTGAGTGACCTTGAACTGGATATCTGCTTTTTTAAGAGGAAAAGTGTTTTGTTTTTTTTTTTAAACTGTTTTGTGAATCTGATATTGTTAGGTATTTTTCAATGAATACAGAATATTACAAGCAGTTTTCATTTTTCTTTGTTGCTTAGGGAATCATATTAAGACTTTGTACCATTTTGTACTGGAATTTCTTCTCTGAAGCAAACACAGTCCCCAAAAGAAGGATCTTCAGGTGTCAGTGGGATAGCAAATGCCATTAAATCATTCAAGGTCAGACTCTTACCCTATCTTTGGGTAGGTTTAGAATCATCTTGAGGTGGAACATTCTGATGGTTAGATCCATCAGGTTCCTAAGAACTATAGCAGACAAATGGTGCTCTCATCTGTTTTGTTTTCCTCGAATGCTCATTCTTTTTCTTCCTCTCCACCCAGGAATGAACAAGTTTCTTTATAAATTTGGCCTATATCCAGGTTTAATGGGAATATATCAAAATCACATCACTGTAATTCAAATCCTAGTTCAATACCAATGACTTTTATGAACCTTTCTTTCAGCGCCCAATTCCTATAAAAATATCCAATTCAGTCCATTTGTCCTTAAAGCTTGTGATTGTTTCCCACTTTTTGTTCGTAAACTTTCTTTTTGGAATATGAAAGAATTCTGAGATTGAACCTTGACCTGGGAAGCTCGTCTTCATTATATCAACTTGTAGCTCACATTCAGAAGGAAGTACTACGTAGTTCCATAAGAGATGTTAAAGCTGAAATTGGAATAAGGATTCAATGAGTCCTTTACCACAAGTAAGGTTTTCCTTTTGCAGTTCTTTGCAAACGAATATTAGTGCAAGGGATATTCAATTTCTCTGCAACCAATTTCCTTATCATCAGACTGCCAGCCATGGCTGCCTTAGTATCCTGGGCAAAGACGAATTGGCCAATGCACTCCTTCTCCTGGCCTGAATTGACCACACCTCCAGCAAGCACTCAGCTCTGTTTGGCAGCCAAGTGCCACAGGAAAAGGCCCAGCACACACCTTCCATTGCTGACACCAAGCAGAACAGCTTGGCAGGGTAAACTATACACGAAAAACGACCTCACGGCCACCTCTGGGCTTGGGTGGCACAGATACTCTACAGCTGATTCTTGACATCTGCAATAGTTAGGTTCTATAGAGGCAAGGTGAACACTGACTTAACTAATACCAAACCATTGATCCAAAGAGAAATAGAGAGTTAGGTTCTGTGAGCCTTTGGTCACAACATTTTTGCCAACCAATCAATACATAACATTGTTTTATGTGTGCTTTTATTTAAAGACACCTTATTTAATATATATTGTTGACTCATTACTATTAAACTCAAGGTTAACAGCACTATAATTCCTGCCTAAACAATACTTATTTAACACAAGGATTTTCTCCTTATTTCACAGCCTTCTTGCACTTGGGAACACTATACAGCAAGTCAATACTCTGCTTGGGGGCCATTTTAACAACCTCACCAATAAACAGCAAAAAAATGCAAAGACTGTGGTACTAAATAGACAGCAAAAATGACACTTGTTTACAGTATGAGGACTGAAACAAGACGGAGAGCTTTGCCTCATCCAACCTCAGCTGGGAACATGCACATTAGGCAACTCAGATTTTTGCAGCTCTGCACCAGCACATGTCTGTGAGTGACCATGAAAGCACACGAGCATTGATTTTGGGGGTTACAAATGAATTTTAGCAAATAGGCAAATTCTCAAATACAGAATCTATGAACAAGGATAGACTGGAATTGAAATTTCGGAACGATCATGCACACTAATGATATACAGAGCAGATTTAGCAGCAGTCTGCTGCCCTGACCAGTGAGTGGGTGTGGGAGGATCTCTGCCTGATTTCCCATGAATCCCTGTTTCCCCTGTGTGGTCCAGCCCTTCTCTGAGAGCCTTTATTCACAGTGTTCCTCTCACCTGTGCCTTCCTTCCTTCACCTCTGCCTGTCAACATCTTACTAACCTCTTCAAAGCCCAGCTCAGAATTCACCCACGCTGGTTAGCCTAACACCCTGAAACCACTGCAGTGCCTCCTGAGCTGTGGTCTGGGGATATTTCCTTCTGGGCTCAACAAATTCCACATCCCACACATGTATGCTCTGTTATGTCTCAAACCTATAGAGATGCTGTTATGATAAATACTGTGTTGTGACACATTAATTCATAAGCTTTCCTGCAGCTAGGCAGCAGATGAGAAGTAGTTGAGCAGAGTGATTAAGAGTGGAAGCACTGGAGCTGGAGAGGTTATGTGAGGAGGCTGACTTTGCCCCACACTAGCTTATTAATTTGGGCAAACTACTTAATCTCTCAGTTTTCTTGTCTGTAAAGTGGAGACAATAAAAGTAATTACTTGTCAGAGCTGTGGCAAGGATTCAATGCATTTAATAGGTTGAAAGTCCTTAGAACTGTATGTGGTACTCTGGAAGTACTCCTTAACTCTTAGCTCTTATTGTATCTATTGACATTATCATTTTTTCCAATCAATGAACACTAAAACATTACTCATTATGAGGGCTGTATTCCAACATACTTTACAGTTTGTTGAAGTTGAAACGGGATCAGCCTCTAGGTTGGGAATCATTCTTGCCTCTCTTGAGACATTTATCACATTTTGCCTTCTGTTTCAATGTCTGTAACATGTATTCCTTTACTTGTAAAATCACATCATCTTCTTTAAATCCTCAGAGACACTGTACTCAGCAGGAGCAGAATAAATACTTACTGAACCAATAAACAATTGTGGGGCAGAACAGTCATTGCTTTACTTTCAGGAATTACACAGAAGGAAATAGAAAGACCACCACTTAATTCTCCCAAAGTTGTTTTTTTAAAAAAATCCAAAGCCCTTCATCAATGCAGCCTGAAGTACAATTCTCATTACAAACGTGGAGAACAGAGGCCTGGTTAAAAATTTGTTTCTGATATTTCATTTTTAAAAGACTTGACTATTATTTCCTGTCAAGGCTTCTTTTAGGAAATAAACTCTCATCTGGGCTGGAATGTTTTTCTATCTTACATGGGATACACCCGAGTCCTAGAGCTTTAGGTGAGAGAGAGAGAGAGAGAGAGAAGTTTAATTCAGGCCATGAGAATAGCCTCTGCTAGGCACAGAAGTTGAGTATTGAAAGCTTTAATTTGTATAAAATTTTAATTTGTATAAAATACTTCAAATGGCAGGCATACTTCATTTTATTGCACTTCTCTTTATGCACTTTGCAGATACTGTGGGCTTTTTTTTCTTTGTTTACAAATTGAAGGTTTGTGGCAACCCTGTGTCCAACAAGTCTATTGGCATCATTTTTCCAAAAGCATGTGTTCACTTCATGTCACATTTTGGTAGTTCTCATAAAATTTCAAAATTTTTCATAATGCTTTTGCATACTTAAGGGACTACAATATAGTATAAACACAACTTTTATATGCAGCTCACTTTATTGCAATATTTACTTTATTGTGGTGGTCTGGAACTGAACCCACAATATCCCTGAGGTATGCCTGTATATCATCAACTCTAGATCAAGATGTGCTAGATCAAGGCATGGATAACAGCAAACACTTGGAAGCTAATTTATATTTGGCTTGGGAAGGCATTGCCTGAACAGACATTCATACACAGATACACAGATACATACACCTTTACTGTAATAACACCTCCTCTAATCTCCTCTCAGCAGGAGGTGTTCAAAGGAGCCCCAAAGCAAGCTGGGTGATAGTATGCAGAAGTCCTGAATTACAAAGAATAATATACCAAGCAGATGACCACCTATTAGACTATAAGCTTCATGAGGACAGGAACTGAGGCTTCCTTTTTCATTTTGAAAGCTCCACCAACTTGTTCAATAAGCACTTGGTAAATATTTGTGAATAAATGAATGAGAGTGAACTAGTAAGTGTATAGTCTGAGAATTGACTATAGAAAAAGGTCACTGATAAACAATAAAAATTGGACCAGCATGCTTTTCCTCTGAAGTGACATTTGATGTTGGTCCCTTTATTTGGATATGGGAGACCCAGATAGGATGAAGAACCATAGAATTTTTGTCCTGTAGAACTCCTTTGAGCCCATCTAAGGCCTCTTGTCTGGGGAGAGGCAAACTTTTTCTTTCAAGGGTCAAACAGTGAATATTTGAGGCTTTGTAGTCCATTAGGTCTCTGTTCCAACTACTCAACTGCTATTTTAGCATGAAAGCAGCTATAGACAATACAGAAAGAATAAGTGTGGCTGTGTCCCAATAAAACTATTTACAGAAACAATTCAAGGGCTGGATTTGGCCCATAGACCATAGTTTGCTGACTCTGCTCTAGTGGACCCTCCTGTTCTCAGAAGAGGACATGAAGGCACAGAGCATTCAAGTGGCTTGCCCAAGTAAACATGACTAGGTAGTTGAAGTTGGAGGCAAAATTCAAACTTATTGATTCTAAGCCAAAACTGTGGGTTTTACTGTCAAAGGAAAATCCACTGATTCATTGATTCAAATGCTCACTGAGAGCCTGTACATGCCAGGCATGGTGCTAAACACTGGATATACCTGAGTGAACCAAGGCACCATGGCTTTGCCCTTAGAGAACTTACATCCCAGAGGGAGGTTCCAGCAAAGGCAGAGGTCATTATAATTCATTCTAAGAAGTGCTGCAAGGGGGGGGAACTATAGGCAGTACCAGAGTGTGTAGGCACCACCACAAGGCAAGAAACAAAGTTTCCTCTGCTTTATGTCCATGAAGCTGCCATAAGAAGGCCCAGGCCCTCACCAGCATCTCTGATATGCTAGTTATTGTAGCTGTTATCACCTCTTCCCAATTTCCACGATTTAATTCTCCTCTGAAACCATTTATCTTAAGCACGCAGTGGATCCCCCAAATGTACATCTTAGGTAATTAAAAGGAGTACAGATTATCTCCACTGACCTTTGATTTTTCCAATTAAGAAGTTTTTGGAGTTCACAATCTGATCCATGTCTGAACGAATCGTCCCTTCCAGGCCCTTTGTCAGACTTCTGCATTCCTCCTTCAAAGCACTTAATCCTTCGGAAACTTGAAGCTGTACCAGGTTGTAGGCCTCCTCAAGGAGCTGCAACAGGGAATAGCACATAAATCAGGCTTGGTCGTGTGTAAGCACCTCACAGAGTCAAGTAGAGGGATGAGAGTTTATCACGAACTATCATAATATAAACAACACTGCACACACATCCTAATTTTTCTTTCAAACTTCAAGTCTGTTTGGATTAGTCCTCATGTAAGTGAGACTGAGCAGGCTTGAGGTAGACGATTCTCCACCCAGGGAGGAACTTTCTTTTAAAAAAAAATAATACAAATAAAAAAACTGCCTATAAAGAGAAAGGAATGTTCATTTGAGGAACATAGTTTAGTGACAAAATAATCACTTACACTGAACCAAGCTCTCTTCCTATCATTCTTTTTCCCCTTCATTTTAGGCAGAAGGTCTGTCTGGAGGGTGGGCAGGAGCTCCTCCATCACCAGGTTACTCAGGATCTGCAAAGTGGAAGAGAGCCCCCGTGGTGGCTAGTCAGTGAGGTGAGGCAGACTCCGAACATCAGGCCACCCAGAGGTTCCATGACTGGCTGTCACCATCTGAGGCTAATGCAGTTATCCAGGCTACATGAAGTCTGTTAGGTTCATCTTATGGTTTACCCTTGTTCTGAGGCCAAACATCTCAGCCAAGATAACTTAAGTGAGTATATGTTCTTAAATATCCATAAGGAATAATAACACCTGCTTATTATATTTCCCATCAGAAAAAAAAAATCAGATTCCTCAAATTCAAACATTGCATATTCAAACTAGAAGAACCTAGTGTATTGTAGACAACAGGGTAAGTTTCAATTATGGATAAGGACATTCTTAGCGAAATTGTGAAGTAGGTAAGGCTTGGTTTGGGTGGCTGAATCCTAGTCCATAACCCTTCACAGTATTATCCCTCCTCGAGCTCCCTTGGGATCCAAGTGTCTTCATGCTCCCTGTGCCTACTGCCTCCTGAAATCCTCCTTCCACCCTCTTTAAAGTTTAGAAAAAGAAAGGAGTAACAAATACTTTGGAACAATTGAATATTTGTGGGCTGAGCATAATATAGAGTTTCTAAAGTTGTATCAGTCTGAGAAGAAATACAACCAGAATGCTCCTTAGAAAGTGAGGATGGTGAGACTTTGTCTTACTTACTTTGGACATGTCATCAGAAAAAAACAATCACTAGAGAAGGCCATCATGTTTTGTAAAGTGGAGGGTCAGCAAAAATTAAGGAAATCCTCAATGAGATGGACTGACACAAAATAACCACAACAATGAGCTCAAACATACAACAAAATCATGGAGATGACAGGACTGTTCTGATATAGGTAAGGTCACCATGAGTCAGAGTTGACTCAACAGAAACTAACAATAACAATAGATTTGTTTGTTGTTGTTGTTTTTCATTTTTTCCCAAATCTTTCCTCTAAAATTTTGTTTGGATCAAAGAAAATGAATCTTTTGAATCTCAGCAGCAATGCCCACTCATGACAGTGCTCCATGCAGTACTCGCCCCTCCTTCTTACTCCCACTGACCTTGAATTATAGCAGACTTGCTATTCAGATTCACTTTCATCATGAGTTTTTGGGGGCTCACAGTTTAGCTTTCAATTTCAAAGTAGGCTGCAGACTAAGATTTATAGAGGGCAAGAGTAGTTGTGGAAATGGAGGCAGGGAGAGAAGTGGAGAATCACTTGAAACATCTGTTCTACAAATTGAAATAATACTTGTCTAAAATAATTGGCCACTTCCTTCTCACTTCTCATAAAAATTCAAATTAAGCTTTGGAATTAAGAAAGATTTTCTCTGAAATCATTGGTCAGTCTCAAGCTGATGGAAATACTGATGTGCTCACTGGATGTTGCCTTTCACTCAAGCTCTGTTTCAGCAGGGTGTAACGCTACAGCTGAACTAAACAGGAACACTCCCAGGGTGGAGGTAGACAAGCTGTCCAGTCCCACTGTGCCCATGGGTCCTGAGTGAGAGGGTTGTTTGAGTCAGTGTGGTCAGGAGGGCTCCTGTCATTTGCAATTTGGGACTGTGTGGTATAACAGAGATTATAATGGGGACAGGATTTCCACTAGTCCCGGTAATTCAGACAGGGAACCAGTCTCTGGGGACAGTTAAAAGTTGGACAATTATTTTCTGGTGACTCTTAGAGGAACTTGACATGTGAGCTCCATGTAAATCAACAGATCCAAAAATTAGATTCAAGTAGGTCACTGATAATCCAGGGATTGCCACCCTGCTGTATGGAATAAGCGCTTGTTTAGAATACATCTGTTCAAGAGTAACAGAAGTGTGGCACAGGTAGAATGAGCTAAGAGGGTAAGGAGACTGAAATCAGTACTTAGAATCAATGGGAAATATAATATGAAAAAATTGGTCTGAAAAGTGTTAAAGTTAAGAGTCATAAGTGTCCTAATTCATCACTTTGCAGAAGCTGGTTTGAATTTAAGCGTTAGAAAAAAAAAAAAATGTTCCATTTGGGTGGGTTTATAATTTTCTTTTAGTCTTTCTCATACAATGTTCCAAGAAATTTGGTTCTATTTTAGCATTTAGGAAAATGAAATGGAAATATGTCTAGAAAGAAAAAAAAGGGGTAGGAGTGGGTTGGTTATAGGCAGAGCTTCTGGGTGCTGAAGCCCAGTGGTGCTACATGACAACACTACCATTTTCTTCTAAACTCCAGCCCCAACTCCCACCCAGATGTTATGCTTCCCCTCACCTTGGTCAGCATTCTACAGCACAGTCCCAAGCCCTTGAGCAAGCTGAGGGAAAGTAGGTCATCTGATACATAAATCACTAAGGAAGGGGTTCTCCAACCTCTTCCCCTCAAAGCAGGATCTACTGAGTTTTATCTTATATGAAATCTATAAGTATCACTTTTGCTTGGGGAAAAAAAAAAAAAAAAACAGAGGTGGGCTTCAATTTAACTGCTGGGAAATGGAGATTTTTAAATTCCATCACACACACAAGAAACTAAACATATCACCAGGTTGACTGAAACTGACAAATCCAGGTTCACCCCCTAAAGGCCTTGCCACACAATTATCTTTCTGATGTTGAAGGAGTAAGGAGATATGAGGTCCACAGAGACCGTCCTCCTTCCCCAGGCTTTCCCGGCAGTCTTATCCAGCTGCCAGGCCTCTACCTTTTGTGTAGCTGAGTGGCCATGAGTCAAAGAATTCATTTAAAGGGGCCACATTCAAGGCCATTAGGCACAAGACAACTCCAGATGATATAGGTAAGACCTAAAAAATGTGGATAGTTTTTGTATCTAGAAGCCATCTGTTCTGTGGGAATGATGACCCGCTCTCTGGCCCATCTGGCTAATTTAAAGATAAATAATAAACATTCCAAATAACTGGACAGTACTTTACAAAGACCTTCCCTCATGATCTCATTTGATATCTTTATATTGACAAGCAGAAAACATACTGAAATTTTTACTAGTATGCAAATATTTGCCCCTTAACAATCTTTCAGCAAGTTATTCCAAGATATTTGCTTTGTCTGGACATTTGCCTAAAATAACCATTGCCATGAGGGCATGCCATACTTGCTGCATGAGTCAGTACTTGAAGATAATAATGTAACACAACTGAAAGTCATATGAATGCAGTCCCCTAGGGATATGAATATATAGGACAGCATTATGATTAAGTTTTTAGTGGATGTGAAGAAAAACTGCACATACACCCAGTGCATTAAACCAAAGGTGCCATATTCTCAAACTCAGTAATGCAATGCCACTTTAACTACTTTGGACCCCTGACCTCTTTGTGAGCCTTAAGATAAACCTACTTCCTTATTCAGCAATGTTATTAGAGGTTATGGTGAGCCTTAAACCTTGTTAGGAATGCTTTGGAACACATTTCTTTTTTATCAGCTTCTCCAAGGATAGCCCGACAATTCTGTTACAATTCTTCGTGACTTCAGCGAAGTCTTTTAACGTCTCTAAGAATCCTTTCTCTCATATGGAGGGTGATGGACAAATAATCCTAAAATCCCTCTTAAAAACCAAAACCAAACCTACTGCCATCAAGTTGATTCCAACTCAGAGCGACCCCTATTGGATTTCCGAGGCAGTAAACTTTACGGAAGTAGATTGCCTCATCCCTCTTACCACTCACATTTTATGAGTTTGTGATTTCACCCATGGTGATCAAATTCCTAGAAGAGCAAAATTTCCTATTGGGTCATTTAATAACTCCAGTTTTTACTGATCTGTGTTTTTTTATTTGTTTATTTATTTATTTTGCCACTTATGGGGATTTTGGTTCTACAAAATTAACACTACACTTTGACTGCTTCAGAGTCACTGGGTGGTACAAATGGCTAATGTGCTTGGCTGCCAACCCAAAGGTTGAAATGTTTGAGTCCACACAAAAGCACCTTGGAAGAAAGGCCTGGCAATCTACTTCCTAAAACTCACCGACTGTAAACTCTACGGAGCACCATTCTATTAAGACGCGCATGGAGTCACTGTAAGTTGGAATTGTGTCAATGGCAACTGGTTTACTGGAATGACTGCCTCATACAAATGCTTTATGATATCCATATATGCAGGTCATTGGTTGTCATATGACATCAGGTTAATTTTGACTCAGAGTGACCTCATGTGACAGAGTAGAACTGCCCCACAGGTTTTCTATGCTATAATCCTTAACGGCCAAGAGCCCTGGTGGTGTAATGGCTAAAATGCTCAGCTGTTAACCAAAAGGTCAGAGGTTCAAACCCATCAGCTGCTCTGTAGGAGAAAGATGTGGCAGTCTGCTTCTGTAAAGATCTATACCCTTGGAAACCCTAGGGGGCAGTTCCATTCTGTCGCTATGAGTCAGAATCAACTCAAAGGTAGTGCGTTTGGTTCTTTGGTTTTAATCCTTACAGGAACAGATTGCCACAGAACTACTACCTGTGTTCAAACCACCAACCTTTTGGTTAGCAACTGAGTGCTTAACCGTTTGCACCACCAGGGCTCCTTCCATATATGTAGAGCCACTCACACACATACATATATATATGCCCCCACATATATGTACAATGCTGCCTTGTCCTCTGGATATATATGTACATCTTGCCTTACCACAATGTATCTTATAATACTTGGTACACATCAGCCTAAAACAAAAAGCAGAAGGGAAACAAAACAAAACACAACAAACTCAACATCTACCCCACTAGCCAGATTTACTAAACATGTTTCCAATAGCATTGTGAAGGAATGTGAGCTGCTATGGGATTTCAGGTGAAATCAAAAATAAAGCAAGTGGCATATCTGAAATTAAGGAGCTAAATAAATATGTAACTCAATATATTCCCAAGGTTGGTATTGATCTTTCACTAAACCAAGAGTCAGAAGCCAGTATTATTCCCTTTGCCATCCACCCACTTGGCACTGGAAACTGAGACTATGAGCTTCACAGGGCAGGGCCATCTGTCCTGTCCATCTCTGAATCACTGGAATTCAGCATAGTGCTTAGAATATAGTAAGTTCTCAATAAACAGTTGTTGAATTAACAACACTGGGTAAGTCACATAACTTCAGTTTTACTATTTACCAAATAGAAATAATACCTGTCCTATCTAGTCCATAAAATCTGTAAGATGAAGAGAAAGAACTAGCATTTGAACATTATAAACATAACACACAAAGGCATTTGATATTGATTTATCTATAAACTATGTTTGCTCATATGGCAGGCCAATCAGTGTCAAATGTGTAAGCTTCCCTTCTTATGCTTTTGATTTTCTTTCTTATGCTTTTGTTTTCTTTTCTGGCATAAATGCTATACATCCTTAGTCCTCTCAGACTTATAAACAGATGTGTTACTCCCAAATACCAGAAACCGAGAATTGGTTAGAGTGCTGGAATAAGTCTCAAGTAGGGAAGTAAATGAGTTTAGAATCAACCAAAAAGAAGAAGATGATGATGATGATTCCCAGACATATGGTTAAACAATAATGAATAGCCCCATCAGCATGAGAAAATGTTTTTGGTTTTAGATGTTTAAAGACCATAAAGTGGGAAGACACCATCTGGTATTATCCAAATGTTATTCCTAAAATGTTATCCAAATTTCACAGAACCCAAAAGAGATCCTCTGGGGATGTGGGAAAAGAAAATAAAAGAATAGCACTCTTGGACACTGTGCATATGACTGAATAATGCTCACATCCAGTCCTCTTCTTTTGGCTAAATCAGCTGTGTGCTTGGTGTCATCATGGAGGTGAGGGTCCCATCAGGAAACACAATTTCCTTTGGAAATTCATAGCACTTGCTGGAACGTCAGCCACTGAGATGCTTAGACACATGACTGGCATTTAATCAGGATTGTGGAAAATTATAATGGACTATGGAGCCTAAAAAACTAGGAAAGGTAAATGAAATTTATAGAGACCTGCTTAATGCTTTTTAAATTTGTATAGCATTCAGTAAAGACCTCCAACTATGTGCTAAATACTTTACCAGCAACATCTCATTTAATTCTCCCAACTCTGCAAGGTAAACATCATTATTCCCATGTTCGTCCAGAGGAGTAACCTGAGAGTAACAGAGGTTGAATACCTTGCCAGGATTTAAATCCAATTCCTCTGACCCTAGCATCCTAACGCACTCTGCACTATACCACTGTGCTCACTGTTGCATCTCCTCTGGAAACATGAGGTCATTCAAAAAAATAATCCGTTTTCTAAAAAACTCTGGGCACAGCTCTTTCCATTACAGTTGAAGTGTTTCTGTCTGCCCTATTTAGCACCTGGAGTGGGTGACCAAATGTTTCTAGATGATGAGAAAAATGACCTTTGAAATCACATCTTCCATTCTTGCAGCTTTCTTTGTTTGTTTGATTGTTTGTTAAAATGACTCTGACCTCCTACCGCTGAGACAAAGAGAAAACCCAAAATTCTGAGCCCTGTGTTACCTGGACTTCATTGCCAGTGATCATTTCCCATGAGCCATAGTGACCCTTCTCCTGTCGGAAGAACTGCACAGCTTCTACAAAGGCTTGGGCTTCAAACGTCGTCTGCTTCATGTAATCTACAGGAAAGAAATAAAGGCATTTAGCAAAGAAAAAAAAGTTTACTTTAAATTTTAACATGATTCTTCAAATGTAATGTTCAGAGACCTCATATTACCAGAGTACCTACAAGGGATACAATTATGAGACACAGAAAATGTTAAGCAAGTACTGCATTCAAAGTTCCCTTCCAGGTGTGTATCACACTAAGAAGCCCTGATGGCACAGTGGGTAAGTGCTCGGTTGCTACCCAAAAGGTCGGCAGTTTGAATTGAAAAGCCATTCCATGTAAAAAAGATGAGGCAGTCTGCTTCCTTAAAGATTACAGCCTTGTAAATCTTATGTGACAGTTCTGCTCTATCCTATAGGGTCACTATGAGTCAGAATCAACTTGACAACAGTTTTTTTTTTGGAGGGGGTGGTTAACATATACTTGCTCAACATGCTAGCTGATTAATTCTGTATTTTAACTACTCAGTTACTAGGAATAGTGGTTAACACCAGAAATGGGTCATCCATTTTCTCTCTCTTATAAATGCCTCCCCCTCTATCCCCAGGCACCTAGTGTCTTTATGATACCAACCACAACACCTTACTCAAGTAAGCCATCACTTAACAATGTCTTATGTGTCAAAATTATCCTTTTCCAGTTTCCCAAACAAAACTCCAATTTCTTTGTGGCCTGATTTCTTTTTTCTGTAAAAAGGACATCAACATAATAAATTAATTTTTCTTAATATGCAAATAATTGACAATAATAGCTAACACATACAGTAGGATAAAGCAGCCCTGGTGGCACAATGGTTAAGTGCATGGCTGCTAAATGAAAGGTCAGTGGTTTGAATCCACCAACGGTTCCAGAGGAGAAAAAATATGGTAATCTCCTCCCATAAAGATCACAGCATAGAAAACCTTATGGATAGTCTATAAGGTGGGTATGAATTGGAATTGATAGCATATAACAAAAATAAATAGTAGGATATTGTTCTAATCACTTTATATATCTCAATGGAACCTCATAATAGTTTCTGAAGTGTTGTTAGGTGCCACTGAGTCATCTCCAACTCATAGCGACCTTACGTACAACAGAACAAAACACTGCCCATGCCAGCCTCACGATCCCTCTATTCCTGAGCCCATCGTTGCAGCCACTGTGTCAAGTCATCTTGTTGAGGGCTTTCCCTTTCTTCATTGACCCTCCACTTTACCAAGCATGATACCCTTCTCCAGAGAATGGTCCCTTCTGACCACATGACCAAAGTAGGTGAGACGAATTCTGGCCATTCTTGCTTCCAAGGAGCATTCAGGCTGCCCTTCTTCCAGGGCAGATTTATTAGTTCTTTTAGCAGACCATGGTACTTTCAGCATTCTTCGCCAACACCACAACTCAAAAGCATCAACCCTTCTTCAGCATTATTCATTGTCCAGTTCTCACATGCATGTGAAGTGATTTAAAAAACCATGGCTTGGTTTAGGTGCACCTTAGTCTTCAAGGAGACATCTTTGCTCTTCAGCACTTGAAAGAGGTCTTTTGCAACAGATTTGCCCAATACAATATGTCTTCTGATGTCTTGACTGCTGCTTCCATTGGTGTTGATTGTAGAACAAAGTAATATGAAGTCTTTGACAACTTCAATATTTTCTCCATTTATCGTGATGCTGCTTATTGGTCCAGTTGTGAGAATTTTTGTTTTCTTTATATTGAGGTATAATCCATACTGAAGTCTGTAGTCTTCAATCTTCATCAGTAAGTGCTTCAAATCATTCTCACCTGCAGCAAGCAAAGTTGTGTTGTCTGTGTATCTCAGGTTGTTAATAAGCCTTCCTCCAATCCTGATGCCATGTTCTTCTTCATATTGTCCAGCTTCTCAGATTACTTGTTTAGCATACAGATTGAACAAGTATGGTGAAAGGATACAATCCTGATGTATCCATGCAATATCCCCTTCTTCTATTTGAATGGCAGCCTCCTGGACTATGTACAGGTTCCTCATGAGTACAATTAAGTGTTCTGGAATTCCCATTCTTCTCAATATTATCCACAATTTGTTATGATCCACATAATCAAATGCCTTTGCATAGTCAATAAAACACAAGTAATCCTCTTTCTGGTATTCTTTGCCTTGAGCCAAGATCCATCTGACAGCAGCTATGATATCCCTCGTTCCATGTCCTCTTCTGAATCTAGCTTGTATTTTTGGAAGCTCTCTGTCAATATACTGCTACAACTGTTGTTCAATTACCTTCAGTAAGATTTTACTTGTGTGTGAGATCAATGACATTGATATCCACATTCTGTGGGATCACTTTTCTTTGGAATGGGTACAAATATGGATCTCTTCCATTCAGTTGGCCAGGTAGCTGTCTTCCAAATCTCTTGGCATAAATGAGTTAGTGCCTCCAGCACAGCATCCATTTGTTGAAACATCTCAATGGGTATTCCATCAATTCCCAGAGCCTTGTTTTCCACAAATTCCTTCAGTGCAGCTTTGAATTCTTCCTTCAATACAGTTGGTTCTTGATCATATGCCACCTCTTGAAATGGATGAACATTGACCAATTCTTTTTGGTACAATGATTCTGTGTATTCTTTCCATCTTCCTTTGAGGTTTCCTGAATCACTTAATATATTGCTGATAGAATCTTTCAATATTGCAACTTGAGGCTCAATTTTTTTCCTCAGTTGTTTCAGCTTGAGAAATGCCAAGTGTGTTTTTCCCTTTTGGTTTTCTAACTTCAGGTCTTTGCAATTTCATTATAATTATTGACTGTCTTCTCAAGCATGTCTTTGAAATCTTCTGTTCAACTGTTTTATCTTTTCATTTCTTCCATTTGCTTTAGCTGTTCTCCATCAAGGGCAAGTTTCAGAGTCTCTTCTGACATCCATTTCGGTCTTTTCTTCCTTTCCTGTCTTTTTAATGACCTTCAACCCACCAGCCACTCCTCAGCAGGAAGATTGAGCAATCTACTTCCATAGTGATATTGCCTTAGAAACCCAAGGAGGGGTCACTATGAGTCAGATCCAACTCGATGGCAGTGAGTTTGGCTTTTGGTATTTTGCTGTCTTCATGGATGATGTTCTTGATGTCATCCCACAATTCCTCTGGTTTTCAGTCATTGGTGTTCAGTGCATCAAATCTATTCTTTAGGTAGTCTCTAAATTCAGAAGGGATATAATCAAGGTTGAAATCACAGTAAGCCAGCCCCAGGACCAGCAGAAGACAGGTGTTTTTGTGTGTAGAGCCACCTGTGGGCACAGGATGCAGTAAGCCAGCCAGGGGACCAGTGGAAGGTGGGTGCTTGTGTGTGTGGAGCCGCCCCAGGTGCAGGCTGCAGTAAGCCAGTCCCACAACCAGTGGAAGGTGGGTGTTTGCCCCTGGGACAGGCTGGGTAAGTGAGCATGGTGGGGGAGACCAGGAAAGGTGCAGAGCAGTGTAGAACAGCTAGGGGAGACAAACTTGTCTGTCAATTTGTCCTACTATGATGGCTTATGTGAGGCTGGTGGCTATGCCACCAGTGTTTCAAATGTCTGCAGGATTACCCATGGTAGACAGGTTTCAGAGGAGCCTTTAGATTAAGACAGAGTTGGAAGAAGGAGGAGGCCATGCACTTCTCAAAGAATTGGCCAATCATTTCACAAACCTTGAATAGCAGTGAAACAGTACATGATAGAGTGCATAGAGATGAGTCCCTCAGGTCTCAAAATATGACTGGAGAAGAGCTGCCTCCTCAGAGTAGAGCCAATCTTAATTATGTCCATAGAGTAAAGCTTTCAGGACCCCCATTTGCTGATGTGGCACATGTCAAGATGAGAAGGAACAGCTGAAAACATCCATTAATAATCAGAACATGGAATGAATAAAGTATAAATCTAGGAATATTGGAAGTTGTCAAAAATTAAATGGAACAGATAAAGGTTGATATCCTAGGCATTAGTGAGCTGGAATGGACTGGTTTTGGCCATTTTGAATCAGGCGATCATATGATCTACTACTCAAAGTATGACAAATTGAAGAAGAATGGAGTGGCATTCATTATCAGAAAGAATGTATCAAGATCTCTCCTGAAGTACAGTGCTATCAGTGATAGGATAATATCCATATGCCTTTGAGGAAAAACAGTTAATACTACTATTATTCAAATTTATTCACCAACCACCAAAGCCAAAGATGAAGAAATTGAAGATTTTTACCAACTTCTGCAGTCTGAAATTGACTGAACATGCAATCAAAATGTGTTAATTATCACTTGTGATTGGAAAGCAAAAGTTGGAAACAAAGAAGAACCAGTA